CACCTATGAAAAGGGATTAATTTGTAAGTTAAATTCAAATGAAACAGATGGAGCAAACTAGGGGAACATTAAAACTGTGAGCACACCTACTGTGGTACGAAAGTCCCACCGATATATAGTACAAAATGAAAGCAATAAAACCCGCCCCCCAAATATAACTGGTAATTTCTCCCTCTACTCTAGCAGGTTTTGAAACCTAAGAAGTTAACCTGAACAGTCAAATCAGTTCAAAACCATCCATGCAACAATTTACCTTGCAGATTTAAAATGAGCAAGACAAGTAAAGCTCTAAGAATGTATTATCATATCCACTTTAGTAGAAATGAAACAGATTTAAAGCTGCTCACCTCACCTAAGATTACAAAAAAAATTAGTAACTAAAGCAAATGATTCAAAGGCACATAGCACTAGCAACTATTGCAAGTGGTATCTATCACTGTACTTCCCCTTACTGTTATAGCTAACCCAGGGGATAAATACTGTAAACACATTCTATTACAGAACCCTGTATATCTGGATGTTTTCTTCAAAACACAGAGGAACAAATTTCTGAAGGCATGGAGGTTATACAATAGTAATGAAATTATTATAATTAGCAAAATTTGCAAGGTTAATATTTTTCCCCTTCCCCCCTACCCAAGAATAAATTAGGTAGAGTAAAAACAATCCCATCTAAATTATTGCTGTCCACTGGGAGACAAAATTAGTACTGAGATGTATAAAATTTTACTATAATTCAACCCTAAGGAGTTTTTTTAATTACTTAAGTAATGAAAAAATGTAAAATTACAGTGAACAAAGTGTTGAAATATTCTAACATGCATTTTGGAACTCTCACATTTAAACCACTTGTCATTAATATCCCCATTTCATATTTGTGGTTTTTAATAAGTTACAGCTACATAAAATACTGAAGAACCAGGAAGATTTATAAATAGAATACAAGGTCAATAACTTGTACTCAACAAAGAAGAGTATCTACATAAGCAAATAAAAAAAGCTATGAAAACCATTCAAAATCCAGAAGTATTTCCTTAAACAGATTCACTAATAAAAATACAAGAGTATCAGGACTTGAAAATCTTGAATTTGACAAATGAAAATCAATGTTTTATCTATACAAGTCTATAAACTTCTTGAAGTACACATTCAAAAATTCAATTATATCATATATTTGTGAATATTCACTCAACTGCTGTCAGAAATACACATCTCACATAATTAACAATCAGAAAGACAGAGAAAAATTAGAAGCATTATGTATGTATAACTCATTAAAACAATCTCTAGAGATCTAATGTATATTCAGGAGGAAACACAAAGGAGCATGGTAGTAAACTGATTTCTGTATGAAAAAGGAAACTTATCCCAGTAAGTAAATTTAATGTGGCCACAAAGTTGAATCACTCCGAAGTTTTGTTGCATGCATGGCATGCTAAGCAAATACCAGGCTGACATTAAGGACATTTACATACTTAACAGCAGTGTTTGGCTGATTTATCAGCAATTAGAAAATACTTTGAATTTGCAAAGCCATCAAATTATGCATCTCTTTGAAACCTAAATTTTAAAAATAAATTGTGTCCAACTGCAAAAAAACCCCAAAACAATAGCTGACTATTTTTTTAAGAATAAAGGGCATTTTCACTGGTCTGCAAAATTCTGTACTACAGCAAACCAAAAAATAAAGTTATTAGCTTATCATAATTGCAGCCAGTTTTTAAAGTAAGGGGGTAATCCACTGTGGATCGCTGAAGGAAGTGTGACAAAGACTGTGAAATGAGCAGATGCATTTTATTTTAAACAAATTAGGCTCACTACCAGGAAAGTAACAAGGATTTCTCAGTTTCCAACTGCTATGGCTTAACTTTCATTTAAGACCCCTTCATTCTGCTTGTTAACTTCTTTAAACTGCCATTAAAATCAGTGCTCAAAGGAAAAACAGCATTTATTGTTTGCAGTTACAGGCTATCATCTTCATTTTCTATGTTAATGGCAGAGTAGACAAAAGGGATAATGATAAGTGTGTTTGATTACTTGCTCTCCAGACTATGTGTTATCTTCACCTCAAACTCATTTTTGGCAGAAAACAGATAGAAACAGGGTTTGAGAGATACCTTTGTGCTGTGAACACAGCAAAGGCAATCCTTGACAAGCTGTACACAATAGAAATATCTAGTGTTCCTTGCAGCATCTCTTCTATAAATCAACATAACCTTACAAAAATATGGGCAAAATCATATGTGAAATTATAGGACAGGAAAAATCTCATAATTTTAAGTTTTACCTCAGAAGCCACCACAGAATTTTTTCTAGGAAGAGTCAACTATGCCAAACCAGGAATTCCATAAACAATAAAAGTATGAGTATAGAATAATGCAGGTATCTTATATACGAGTGCTTGCTTTAGTAAGGAAAATCATTACAGCAGACACTGCTCAATACAATTACGGAGCTATCACTAAAATATTCAATTGGATTTTCCTGTATACTATGTATCATTAACAGGCAACTAAATTCTTACTAATGCATAGCAGAGCACAGAGTCAGAAAGGACACAGCTTCTTTTCAGCTTCTTGGAGTGAACTGTGAGAACCAGATCTAAGAATTATGGGGAAAAAAAAAACCCCAAACAAACCAAACCCCACAAAAAAAACTGCTCAGGTTTGAAGATGATAACCAACATTTGTCCCTGCAACAGAATTTTTTTGGTATTTAGTTTTCTGAGCAGCACTTTAGCCTCAAGGAAATAGAAACACAGCTCTCTCATGAATTAACATATCAAGAAGCAATAGGTTCTTTGCTTTGAGATACAGCATCTTCAACAGCATTCTGCCCTCTGAAGACTATTATTCATTCTTCTGATTTCCCTTCATGTTTTCTTGTTGTATTCAATTTATACTTTTTTAAAGTTATGCCAGAAGAAAAAAAGAAATAAATCAACAGAAAGTAGTAAAAAACCACAAACCAAACCAAAAAACCCGTAAGTCCACCTGTGTGCTTAAAATCTGTTCAAAACACACTTTTTGCTGATTTAGAAAATGTTTCAGTTAGTGTTTGAGCTCTCCTATGCAGCTGAGTAGAAATTCTGGGTAAATTTCTCAGAAGTGTCAGTAAGATAGACCCATAGGGCAGACTTTTCAAGCACCCAGTTCTTGTATGTCTGGTTTCCCGAGCAAAAGCTACCACACTGCACTAAGCACTTAAGCTGCAATGGGACATTTGGGAGCTTGTTGCTTAAAATGGGATTATCAATTGCTTGGAAGCAGATCTTTAGCTACAGAAATAAAAGATAGTGGTACATGTTGAGAACTGGCTGTGAGTTAACTCCCTTTCCTCTTAGGATGAGATGATTAGATGTTTATGGATATCAAAGAAATGTCCACTTTCAACTGGATTGTTTAGCCTAGAGAAAAGGTTCAGGGGAGACCTCATCACTCTACAACTCCCTGAAAAAAGGCTGCAGCAACTTGGGTGTCACTTGGCCTCTCCTCTCAGCCACAGGACAAGAAGACACAGATTCAAGCTGAGCCAGGGGAGATTCAGGTTGGACACCAGGAAGAATTTTCTCATGGATGAAGTTGCCAAGCATTGGAGCAGGCTGCCCAGCGAGGTGGTAGTCACCCGTCCCACAGGTGTTCAAGAAATGACTAGATGCAGCACATAATGCTATGGTTTAGTTTACATGTGATGTTCAAAGGTTGGACTAGATGGTCTTGGAGGGCTTTTCTGAAGCAATTCTGTCCATTAATTTTCTGCCATGAAACCCTCTTGCATTCTGGTGTTTGTCAGGTTCAACTCTGAGTTGCTCACACGCCTTCCCCATTACATAATAAAGTATGTCTGTCTGGCAGGACAGAATGAATTGACTGAAGTCTTACATAGACCTACCTTCTCAAATTCTCTCTGTGCACTTGTGGTAGCAGAAAAAAAAGAAAACTTCAAGGAGACAGCACAGTTGGAATCAGTCCAGATTATCCAGTGAAATGATTTAAGGGGTAAACACTTTATCAGTAGTGCGAAATCAGAAGTCAGTACTCCTCCTTACCCCAAAAACTTCAAAATCCACCTTTCTTAACAGAATGGTGGAATTTCCCCATCAACTCAAAATTGCACCAATATAATAGAAAACATGAAAGACTACTCTAACTAGACTACATAATCCCATGGCACCTAAGTGGGCCAATCGTTCCACAAAATTACAAACAAGCAAAAAACCCTATCAAGAATTAAACACCAAAACCAAAAATCAGTTTGTCAATTTGAGTTGTTACTTGAGTAACTTAAAAGCTTCTGAAATTCTACTTGTATTGCCAATGCAAAAATGTGACCCAAAAATTACTGTCAATCATTCATACACAGAAGTATGTATGAGACTACATAACAGATTCTACATTGATGTTTATATTAAAAAATAATGTTTGTTATAAGTCTCTGAAAAATATGTTCATTTAGTGCCTCTCTTTCCTTTAAAGGAACAAAAGCCTTTGAAATGCCAAATGAGTTAGAAAGAACTAATGTAGATGAAACTTCTTTCTCAAGTACCAGTGGCTTGTGGACTAACATGGCGAACTGTTGTTGCTTGGAATTATAATCAAAAAGAAAGTCTGTCAAACTGACCAATATATTGTGTGGAATGATATAATGACTTTCTGCACAATTGATTTATGAAGGGTTATGCCAAGTGCACATATACAAAATATACATATTAAAGCTAGCAAAGGATTTTGTTCAGTTGAATTGGTATTACCACAAATCCCCTCTTCATCAGTTGTTGTTTGCACTGACAATCCAAAATGTCTTTTGCAAGGACACCCTGCTTCTATCCAGCACTAGCATTTGCCAGAGTGGCATTCAAATATTTCTGAATACTGAAGGCCACCCAGCACACAAAGACTGTCCCAAAAAGGGGCAAACCAAAGGAATCTTTTAGGACTGTAATTAAATTGACCCACCTGCCTCCGCCCCCCCCCAAAAAAAACCTAAAAAAACCCAAACAAACAAACAAAAAGAAACCAAAAAACAAACCTACACAATAGTTACTGGTGTACTTCCTTTTTCCCATATGGTTTTCCCAGTGCCTTTTCTGTTATTGCTGATCTTGGTTGGTCTGTTTCTTCATTCAATAAGCAATTATTTACACCCACTACTTTGCACAGGGCTACAAGAACTTACAGAAGTTTTAAGCTTCACAAGCTTTACGTCTTTTAGGTAATTGCGTAGACCAGACAGGCTAGGAGTGTCTATCTTCTATTTTTTCATTAAAAGAAATCTATATTTTCATTAAAAATTACATCTGCAAGTAGAATATGCTTTACTGTCTGACAAATGAAAAAAACTCACAATGTTTTATAAATATTAAGTGAACTCTGAAACAGCAAATGGAGAGAACTACTCATCCACAAGTATGTATGATCCACCCAGAAGCTTTCAGATGCATCTACTAGTTTTTAGACTCAAGGCTTAAAGTAGATATGATGGGGGAAAAAAAAAGAAATTAATTACTTAAATATAATCAAAAAATATATGTCACAAATATGATTAAACTCATTCACATGCATAAATTTCTGATTCCATAACTGCTCTGACACATTGCATTCTAGAAGCCAAGCAAACAAGGTATTTTGTGATTTTCCTGACACTATGATTTTTAATCTCCTGATTGACAAGAATGTGATCTTACTAGCAAGCACTATGTCACAACATATATTACAATTACACTTGTGAGATTTTTTTTTTATTTATATGGACGTGTAGGAATACTTGCATTCTTGGTTCCTCTGATATTGACTTCAGAGAACAGCAAAAGGATACCTATAAAGTAAAAGCCAAGGTGATAGCAGTTTGGCAAAAATCCAAATGGTCCCAAATAAAGCAAATTTGCCAGTGCTGCTAAACTCAATCACTGCCAGAGCCAGATGTTCAGAGAAATTTCAATATGAAAATCGTAAAAATCAAGTAATCTCATAAATCCTTTTGATTTAAAACTTTCCCTTTTAAAAAGGCATGGCAATTCCCAGTATTTCAGTGTAGCAAATATAGTTAACTCTTTGAAGTCTGATCATTCTGCTTTTTGCCCCACCATGTCTGAAAGCCACATGACCAGCAACTAAACTGGTCTTTTTCATACAGATACAAATTAACAACTAAACAATCAACAAAGATATACATGGATACATACTGATAGAATGCTAATTTTAAATGTTATAGGAGACCAGATTATCCTGAAGGGGTAACATTTTACATTCCGAATGCAATGTTAACACATTAAGGCTATTACAGTTCTAGATGCTATAAAATGGTTTTAGTAGAATGGTCATGTAAATTGAAAAGAAAACCTGTGTCTCTTCAGACTAGAAACTTAGATAAAATTTGCCCCCAGATGAAAAATTCCATAACCAATCAATGCATCTGTTAGTCAAACTTTTTCTTCCTAGCTACATGTCTTTGAAAGAGCAGGGACATAGGCCATTGTCAAATGCTAGCAAAATGAGAAAGCAGCTCTTCTGTCTGCCAGTTTGTGTAATCTAAATTAGCTGTTTAAAGACACCCTTCTGTTCAGCTGTACTCTCCATTAGCAACAGAAATTCTAACCAAATTACAGAATGTAGGAAATGTATGGCTCTCACCAGTGCAACAGCAAAGTTTGTTGTCTAGCACACAGTGGTAGAACACATTAGACTGAAAAAATAATAGTTAAGTAAAGTGAACACATTCTCTCCTCATCCATTGCTCTTGAGTACACCAAGAAAACTTGAAGATGCATAGCTTTGGTAACTGGCTGCGTATCATGGCTCTTCACAGATATCACACAGCGATGTGACAATGGAAAGGACTGAAAGATTGCTCAGCATGAATACATACATAGAGCCTAAAGGCCTGTGTAACATGGGACACTCAGGAAGATTAATTCTAATTAATTTGTAGAGTGGATTAGTTAAAAATCAAAATATTCCTTTGTCAATATTTTCACAAGAAATTAAGAAGCGAGTTTAACCCAGTTTAAGTTAATTCACTTCACTTGCAACCCTGCAAGTATTTATCATCTTTAAGCAATCCCCTGTAAAACTCATACTTTTGGTAATTTAGTTAAATTTACCTGAGTATCTAAGTATAGACAAGACTTTAAAAAGGAAATGGTCATTAACTACCACTTCTCTGTAAAACATGAAGGATGCAATTTATCTAGCTTATCTAATCACAGACATCCTCATATAACGAATAAAGGCTCTGATGCACTTAGTTGAAATGCAGTCTCACATGAATTCTGTTCAGATGGGGGAAAAAGGACAGGGAAGTCACCTCCTCTCCTAGAGAAATGACCAAATGAGTTATGATCAGGCACATATTTACTGTATCTGCCAAAAAACATATACATGGGACATCAGAATAAACTTAAACTGCACATCTTTATGAAATGTTCAATTTTTATATTTACACTATGATTAGTACAAAACTGCCTTTAAGTTTCTGTAGAACAAGACAATATCTACTGGACTTGATACCCTAGTATGTCAAATCAACTACTTTGAAGTATGATAAAGGAATCTAAGAATAGTTATAAAGAATAAGACACCATTTTCAAACTATACATAGTGTTTGCTTTTGCTTCTAAAAAGGTACTTATATCCCCAAAAGGTTTTTAATTTTAAATAAGCAGGGCAAGCAGGGAGGGGGCAAAGGGGAAGACTGGTTGTTGGTACTAAAGCCTTTACTGTAGTAAACTAAATATATTTACAATTTATACAAATGTTTGACCTTCAACAAAAATACAAAAACATATCACAAGATGCAAAACCAGGAAACAAGTTCATCTGAGACACTGCTGCTCTACACAGGACAGAATGCAACTTGAAATGCAAGAAACAGAAAGGTATTTATCCCCCATATTCAGGCAATGAGAAAAATTTGCATGAGGTCACAAAAAGAAAAAAAAAAATAAAAGGCTCCAACATTCTTCAGTAGACTTGGCTTTTTAAAAATAATGTCAAAAACCTAGGCTACATCTGTCCGTCTTGCCTCTGTGTTCCGTCTGGTCCACGTAGCCAATACTTAGTTGCTGGATGTTGCCTTCTGTTTTGAAAAACCGGAGTAGCTTCATGGCAAGGTCTGGAACCTCAACACTTTTGTTCCTTTGAAAAAATTCAAAACCTTTCTACTTCTACAAACAATTTTGGCCCAGTTCAACCACTAAAAGAATATCCCCATCATATTTTTCAGTAGATAACTTCATAGACTGTAGCCTTTTTGTCTCCAGAGCCAGTGACAATGTACTTATCATCCACAGAGATGTCACAGCTAAGCACTGATGAAGATTCTTTGGACTAGAAGAAAAATAGAAATATATCATTAAAAAGAAGTCTGTTTACCCTCATTCTATCTTCTCACTTTAGGTAGATCACATATATGAAGACATCTGAATCCAGTCTTGGAACTCTGCCTATTTTTTTTTCATTAAAATCAACATCATCCTCACCTGGAAGATACTGGCTCCATAAGGAGTTCTCCATGCATTAAGAAGGTTATCTTTCCCAGTACTCACAAACCATTTACCTAGAATACAAACCAGAAGGATTACAGAATCATGAAAGAGACATCTGACAAATTTTGGGTTTTCAATTCACATAAATTAATCTGTTAAGTAATTACCCTTATAAAAGCTCTTTCTTCTAATCAACACAGTACTTTTGCTTACAATCAATGTGGATGCTCAGTGCATTTGCAGTGTGTTACATACTAGGAAATCCCTAAACTCTTCAAACAGAAATAGCTTTTTACACATGAATCAATCCTCACAGCAGCCTCTAGACAAACAGATGGTTGTTTGTAGATAAGTGCATTTGAATTCATAAAGCAGAGATATTTATGCATTACTTAAGAAACTGAGATGTAATAACTAATGACTATGAAATAACTAATCAGCAAAACATGAATTAAGAGCCCTGACCTCCAGTTCTATGTTCAGGGCAACTTACCACAGTAAGCAAACTTGAGTGACAATACACAGCTCTCATGAAGGTGCAGTTGATACTTGTCCGGTTTATTTACATGTAGCACTTCGACATTGCTGCTTTCCATTCCCACAGCTAGCCATTCACCAGTAGGACAATAACCAAGGGAAAATATCTGAAAATTAAACCATATTTACACCTTTTAATTTTTTTTCCTATAGAACATTTTATTCTGCAGCTAAAATTATCTGGGAGAGGGAGACAGAGATAAGGGCAAATTCACACAGTACAATAGCAAAACTGCAGTTCAAAATTCTAGTAACTAAATAACCGCTGTTTTTACATATTAACTTAGAAAAATAGGAGAAGAGTAGTGTCAGGTCATCATTTCCTTCTGTAATCTAAGCAAGCACATAAGAAAGCTTCAAAATATTGTGTTATGAGCAGCAGGGGAAGAGAAAGGAAGAGAGGGAACAATCTGCCAGTTCTACTGGGCTCTGTCTTACCTTTGATCCTAAGGGCTTCCTTCCCACCCCACACATTGGCAAAAGCTGTAGGAAAATCCAGTTACCTGTGATGTGAAGTCATGCTGTTGTAGTTGTCTCCCTTCTCTCAAGTCCCAGGATCTGACAGTGTTATCCAAACCTCCTGTCCAGAGCTTGGTACCATCATTAGAAATGTCAATACAGCTGGCTCCATCTGTGTGGCCCTGGAATTGCCTGATAAAACAAACCAGATTGAATAATGATTTCCTGCCAGAGCTCAAGGTAAACACTGTTGTGGTGTTAGTTTTGGACTCTGTACATGTGTCATCTGTTCTGTGTCTGACGATGAGCAAAAATCAGCCCCTCCCTCTCACTAAGCATTAAATACCAGTATCACAAAAACATTTTACAGGTGCTAGAAGAATGAACTGCATAATGGCTAGCTGAATAAAACCAAATATTTCCTATCAGCTTTTGAAAAAAGAAAACAAAAACCTAAAAAAACCCAAGCCCACTTGTGAGAATACTAAAGCACAGTAACTACAATAAAAACCACTAAGGATAACTTGGATTAAATCAAAGCGGTCAGAGAATAAACCCTCCAATTTCAGAAAACAGCTTCTGTATTTTTCTTTGGCTGCAAGTCAAGAAGATAAATAACAAGCAGATATACTAATAGAAATGGATCCAGATGGAGATCCAGATAGTTAAACATAAGCATTGCTGAGTCACAAAGTTGCATTCTCTGTGGCAGGAGATTAGAAAAATCTAAATGGTGCAGTTTGTTTTATAACCTTCTCATTAGCAACTCTCAGCTTTCAGCAACCAGAAGGTCATCTCAAGTTATTCTTAATCCTTTGGCAAAAGCATTCTGAGGCTCCTGAATTTTTCATCAGCAATTAGCTTTAGCAAAGTCCTATGCCTCAGTGTGAAAGGTGGAGGGCGGGTGGGGAAAAGACAACCAGCTTGGGAACGAAGGGTATGAATCACCAAGAGCTGCCACAGAAAGGTCACACGACACATTTTGTTTAGTAGCTCTGGTCTCAAAATTCCATGTGCTATCAACCAGCAAGATCAGCGTGCAAGTGGTGGGAACACATACAGCAGACATTTAAAAAGCAAGACATTCATAAATGTGCATAGATGTGGCAGAGTGCACCTTTACAGGGACTAAGCATGCACATGACAAAGTGAAAACTTTATATATCTAAAATTGTATTTACTGACCTAAAGATTCAACAGAAAGTAAAATTTGCATGCATATAAACATGACTCTCTGCATGTAATTTTCAGCTAACTATGGATTTACAGGAAGTTAAACTAAGCATATTCTTTAGTTTTTGTGTTCAGAACTTTCCAATTATCATGGCCTTTTCCAAATTAGATTCTCTTTTTTCAAAATATTTTAAGTCACCACTACTTTGGTAAGCATAAACTAAATTTATCCTATATAAGCCCCATGCTTTCCTAAAGAACTGAGAGGATCCACCCTTTCAATCACTTTTTTTAAGACTAATTTTACTACTTACCATTGCTAAATAAGAATTAAAAATACTCTTTTTCACTTAACAAGGCTTAAGACAAAGGAAAAGAACAAACCTCAAAGCACTCCCTAAAACGCATGTTCAGTCCATATCAATAACAAACCAACAAGAATGCTGCTTGTAGAAACCTGCACACCAATCCCAAATAATAGGAGCTTTAACATTGACTACACTAGGTTATGGACCAACCCTGAAAGCACATCTTCCAGGACTAGGCTGAAGCTACCAAAACCAGTTTCTGCCTAACTTGGGTGTAAACCACCCCTTTGAATAAGAGACTATTTACTTAGCTGTCATAAACCCTATTCAGGGAGATAAATATTTATGTAGCTGTCCAAAGAGTAACTTCTATTAAAATTTTCTGTAAACAACGACTCACCTGACCAATGTCTGATTGTGCAGATCCCACACTGCGATGTTCCCATCACTGCAGCAGGAAAAGCACACCTTGGAATCAGGGCTGATAGCTAGGGCATAGCAAGCTGGAGCAGAAGATGTCAGCTCTGCTTTGATGCGAGGAGTTGGAGCTGCCAGGTCCCAAATGGATAACGTGCTGGCTTCCCCACCAACAATGAGAGTGCATCCATCGGGAAGCAACTTACAGGAGCGGATGTAGTTATCTCTGTTCTGTACAACACAAATCACCTCAGTTACATGCCTGCCAATAATGACCACTAATATAACTCTGACTGCATCAAAGTTTCAGTTTGGTACTTTTTCCATTACCAAAGTACTGAAGAGGAACCAGCAGATCCTAAAAGGTTGTAAACACCTACTTCTCATCACTAATTAGAAACTGCAGCTGCAGAAATTAAAACTGCAGACTCCTGTTGCCACAGTCTACTCTATTTCAAACGTGACGAATGGCAAGTTTTCTATCTCATTACACAAAAACAGAGCCAAAGTAAGCTTGCTTTTTTGCAAATGTACTCCATCAGTGAAGGTTAGCAACAATAGAAATATTAAAGCAAATGACCTTTCATTTGGCATTTAACAGCCCTGTATGAAAATGTCATTCTAGTCTCATGCCCTTCAGATTTTTGAATTTTTCTTTCAAATACTATTTTGCATTCACAGTATTAAAGTTGAAAGATTAAGGATTCCTGTATCAGTCCTGTATTTATGTTGGTCCTTTGTTGTTCAACATGATTCTTATGGCACATATTGATCTCTCATTTGTGATACTATTGTTGATTTGAGAGGTACTGTCGGGGAGTTAGTGACAGAAGACATTTCTACCTTTCCTTATTATATCCTTGCTTGACTGGCAACAGTTCTTTACAAAATGGATGAATAAGATCTTTAAATCAAAACATAGAAAAAAAAACTGCAAGAAGTAGTTAAAAGCATTTCTACGTTTGTTTTTTTTTAGTTTTCAACAAGGGAGCAGTAAGTAGGGCAGTGAAACTGTTCACTTAATCAGTCATTACTGCTCCATAACTAAGATGAAGGCTCTGCATCCAAACTGATACCTGCCACAGAACAGAATATCTATTAAATTTCACTACTACCACTAGACAATTACAAAATGTAAAGTTAATGCAGAAAATAATGCAGTAAAGAAAAGATAAAGGGTAAAAAATCCCAAAAGCTCCCACCACATTTAATTGGATCAACACTGAAGCTAGAATTTTCATTTAAAATACGTATTGCTGTGCTTGACAATGTTAAGTCTTCTCAGCTAACACTGCACAAATCTCTATGCTGCTTCTAGTGAGAAGCATTACCTTTCTTGAGTTAGCTTTTCAGCTACATATACCAGCACCCAGTCCTTTCTGTACCCTGCTCATGCGAAAATAATTTGCCTGTATGTATAACTAGTAGATCATGAGCAAAACTTAAAGTAACCTTTGGTACTGTGTCATATTATTTCAGTATGTGGTTTCTATCATCTTACAAAAATGAAGTTTTTGCTCCTTATGTAAATAAAAGGCCTAGGAAAGTTCTATGTAGTCCTGCATAAGACAAGCTACATTCCTTTTAAACTCATGCACAAGAATCATCAGTATAACTAGAAAGGAAAAAAAAAGTGTAACATTCTATTCAAAACATGATGTACACATTCTATTCATAAATCTGATCTAATCTGGTATTTGACAGCAGATAGTTAGTGATAATTATCACTAAACAAACCAGCACTATTCTCTGTAACACCGTTTATGTGTGAACAAAAAAAAGGACATCAGGAAACAGATATGCCTTCTATTTCCTCCTAACATGAACAAAATCCAAACAAGGCCAGCTTTTTTTTAATTTTTTTATTTTTATTTTTTTGAGCCTCTAAGGAAAAGTTACCCTTGTGCATAAATTCCTGTTCACCTACCAGGCAGTCCAGCTGAGAGACAGGGCTCTTGTTGCCAGGGTGGCTGATGTCCCAAACCTTGACACACCCCTTCCCACCCGTGTAGACGTGTCTCGTGGGGTTGCTGATGGTAACTGCACACACAACTTCCCCGTGGTTCAGGGTGTTGATCTGACGGGCATGGCGAGGGATTCCTGGACCGATGAGGGCATCAGGAGGGAAAGGAACTGGCTGCATCTGACCATCTGCAGTAACATGAAAGGAGTAGGCTCTTTTGGGGAAGGGAAAGAGAAGACAAAACAATTTAAAAAATAAGCCATTACATAACTTCAGTGCAAGAAAAACACAGTATTTTTAATTTTAGTTCTTTGCTAATCATCCCACAAAAATCAGAGCTACAGTGCCAAGTAATACAGGCAGATGAAATCTCAGAAGGAGACAAGGATTCACAGGAGAAATTTTCAGTTTGCCTCAGCTGAAGTATTTGTGTAATGGGGAAGCAGGTTAAATTCCACCCTTAACTCTACAGACCAAGGTCATGGCTGCTATCCCTCAGCTACTTAGACAATCAAAAAACCTTTCTGGTTTCTAGCTAGCAGTTATAAGTCTCATCACCATAAGTCCGACAGCAGCAGTCCCTCACCAGGCACTACTCTCATTCTTCCACGAGGCTTGCACCTGTTGCCTTGCAGTATCACAAGCAGAAGTTTTGCTTGATTCCTGCATCTCATCTTTAACGTCACCACTGGCTGTGCTCATATACCCATCTTTCTAGCCAGTAAGTAGTGTTTTAAACAGAACATAGAAACAGATGGAGTGGTTGCACACAGATTTCATCAGAAAGCTGATAATATCTTCTCATAATTTTGTTTTTGTGAATAAGTATAATGAAAAACATGAACAGCTCAGTTTTCCAGGTACTTTAAGCACTTCAGAAATGTTTTATTTGTATTCATTGTATGATTTCAAGTTTATGGAAACTGAGGGTTGAGGAAGTGACATTCTAACACTGAATAAAAACAGTGTATGTACACATAGAAAGTACATGAAATTATTTTTTCATGGTCACTGAAAAGTTTAAGTTCAGCTCTACTCAAGGACAAGGCTACAAACACCAACTAATAAAGGTTTCAGGTGCAGGGGTGTTGTTTGTTTCCTTATTTTAACTAATTATGAACACACTAGTGTAAAAGGCTGGGTTTTGCTGTACTAGTGAGATCTTTTTCTTTTACTTGTGTTGTAGGTGCATCTATAGCTCATGCTTTTGTTACATCAACAGCATCCTTCAAGAGGCCAAAGTGGATAAAAATGGTGAGACATGAGTATTCTTTTTTTTTTTCACTAATGAGCTGCCATCTCCCTACTGATATTAGATCTTTTTCTAATATATTCCTTTGTTCAGAACTTCCCTTTCTTTTCCAAATCTACTTTCTTCCTCAGAAATCTTCAATCACTGTAGCTCAACTATTAGCATCACATCTATCTTCCAAGAACCCAACAATAGATATTTCTATTAAATCTTCTGTTCTGAATAATGAGCTAGTATTTTCAAGATATTATGTGTTCCCAAGAATTTTTTTGAAATAAAGGAACAAGGAACAAGGACGATGCCTTGATGTTCTGGAACAGACATCACAAAGCAACTGAATCTGCTCTACTCCTGGGCATAAGATATTCCATTGAAAAAGCATGAGGAGAGATGAAAGAACTCTACAGCTTTTTCATACAGAAAGTAAGACTGGAAACAATCAACCCATGCAACAACACAGTTTTTCCTGTGAAGGGTAAAAGCTGGTTAGCAGTAACAGTAACTGGACTTAAACAGAGGAAAAATTAATAGTGCATATGTATGCAATTCCTGTATTCATTTATGGTTGGATTCCTGTATTCAACATGGTTGGATGTACAAGCAGAAAGCTTGCTCAGAGAGTACACAGAAATAGAAGAGGAGCAAGCACAAAAGATGACGTATTTTTTATCACAGAAATGTCGGGAATGGGAAATGTAAGATAAGAAAGGAAGTGCAGTGTTCATTCCCTTACATGTACATAAGGCATACAGTATATTAAATGTATTTTGTCCCACTGGGACCCTTTCTGGCTTTTTGTATGAAGAATTACAGAAATGATAGACTTAACTAGAAACCCATTCCTTTCTGTGGAAAAGAAGAGAGACAAGATTGTCCCGAAGTAGCTATTCACTAAACATATCGGACACAGGACAGGAGAGGAAGCAGAACAGGAGTGACAACAAGACTGCTTGAGGCTGAACTGCTCGGGTTCATCTACGGAATTCAACAAAAGAGTCATAGCATTTAAGACCTTGAAAATCTTGGCCCCATCCTGGGCTCCAGATCAAAGTCAGTTGCAGAGTATTTGTTAGCAGTAAGAGTACACAGAACCGCACAACTTTGAAGTTTCAGCCCGCCCTTGCTTTTATCATGGACTGAAGCAAAACAATTAAGCACATATTAGGCAATTTTTTCCAGCATGTCCAAGATGAATAATCTACTTGTCCATGACTTTTTTTTTTATTTGAAGGTTACAGCTTAAATGTTCTGTTCAATTCAAAATACCTAAATAATTTGTGTTTTGAAATGCTTAGGTGTGCACACAGTTCTTGCTGAGATGGGGTGTGGAGGAAACAACAGAAATATTTTTCAAGCACTTCCTGTTTACTGTAGAATTGTAATGACTCTTATGCTTTGAAACATCAGAGATACAAGGCTGTATTTTTTAATCATGCAGAATTTTACCAATATGTCTACATTTAAAGTGCAGCTATGCTAATTTTAGAAACAGTCGCTCTTTTTCAGCATTTGTTTCTAAGACTGGTTGATCAGGAGACAGGATGACTGAGTTTGATGGCCTAACAAAGAGACCAGCGATACTCTCTTACAAGCCAAGACAGCTTTTTCTACAGTGCAAGTTATCTGCAATCCACTGTAGAAAGAAATGGCTACACTTTGCCAAATCACTCTTCCAGGAGAAGCATGTGAATCTGTGTGTTGTTCCTGTTTGCAGTATCTGCAGTAAATGTTCCTGTTTGCTTGAAGATACGTGGCATGTAATGCTAACATCACCACTGCCAGTATACTTATGGTACGATAGTCTAGTGACTTGTATTTGCTAGTTATTATGGTATAACTTCCACTAAACAATATCTTTTAACCTGGAAAAAGCTTTCATCATTTGCCAGACTGACACTCCTGACACTCCCTGGACAAGGAAAGTGTCTCTCTCTAGAAGAACACAGGACTGGAGACAGCAGTGCAAATGACTATTTGCAGCCCTTCGCTTTCTCGTCATCAGGTCACCATGAGACAGATCCTGCTTCTTCTGAGGACTGTACTTACAGCTCTACACCTACAGAAGACTCAACTTTTAATACACTAGACATAGTCACAGGCCTCAATGCTCAAAAATGACAAGAATTTTCATTATCTAACCTCAAACGAGTCAACAGCTAGCAAAATCTGGCAAATTCTTGAGTTCCCTAAAGCTCAGAATTTCTTAACAGGCCACTTGTCTGCCCATTTTTCTTTTAGAACTGAACATGTATGCCGGAAACTGCTGTTTAGTCTCATGACTAGCACAGTTTTCTGTCTCAGAGAACTCTATGTATGGAAGACAGCTATGCTATGATGGATTCCATGATTATCCCTCTTTAGTCAAAGGAGTGTCCTTCCTTGTGTTGGACTAAGAACACACAAAGAAAATTATCTTATAAAAATGCAATTAAAATTAAATATAAAATAAGCTAAGTATATATCATGCAATACATAAATATACACTTTTAATTAACTGAATACTATGACAAGAATGATTTCAAGACAAACTTCTGTGCCTTTTACTTTGAAGAGTTCTGACAATTAGTATACTGTCACTTATATTATTTTGAATAATGGGAATAGTCTTCTGAATTACTGCATCCAGACTTCTCTCAAGTGACAAAGCAACACTGGGAACCTGCAGAGTTCCTATGCACAGCAACATGGTTAAGTGATACTAATATAAACCAGTTTCTCAGCTTAACTTGCTAATTTCAAAGTAAGTGTACAGCAAGTATCATCTGACATGCTGAGGAGAGTTCAGGATAATTCACTACCCAAGAACATAGCAAATTAACTAAACTACCTGCCATCTACTCCAAGTATTCAGTTTGATGTACAAATGCACTCACTGCCTACTAAAGTACTATGCCTAAAAAAATCCCTGAAAAACTTCCACTTCATCCCTTCAATTCAAGTAGACTTCTTTAAGTAGCACAACCATACCCTGACAGCAAAACATGAAAGCAAAACGTTCCTCCCATTCATGACTGCATTTTGCTTTCAGCTTTTCTTTGCACTCCAGCTCATTTTTAACTGTAGTTATCACAATAAACAGTTAATATCTGTTGTTTCATCATATAGAACAAAAGGTCAAGAAATAAGGATAGAGGTATTTGTGCAGAAATGACTGAATTTTCATCTTCATACATGTCACCAAAAAATTCTATTTAGAGATGAACGGCAGGGATGCACACAGCCCCTTAATCTCCTACAATACAATAAAATTAGGCTTCCTTTACAATAAATATCTCTCATTATCCATTCACTATAAAAGTATGAAGATCTGATGAACAAAACAGAACTGAAATCAAGCAATTCCAATAGAGTATAGTAGACCTCTAAACACACAATGAAAAGTCAGCTTATAAGTAGAAGGAGAAAGATTTAACATTTAGCATGTCAAGTTTCCCTGTCCTACTAAAATGAAAAATGTGTATTTTCAGCTCTTTTCACTGTCTGGGAAAACATGGTGAGAAATATATTTGTCCTCAGTACTACCTTTAATTCAGAATTTTAGACATCAGGGAAGCAAGTACTGTGGACATAAATCTTAGCACTTATCTTAAAACTCTGTATTTAGTCCACAATCCAACTATTAGAAGGCATGGTTCACACAAACCAGAAATCCATAAGAATGTTAATTTAGCAGCTAAAGAATAGTAAAAGCTAAATACTTATTAGAAAGACTATGCAAAGCAAAACATAAAAAAAAAATAATAAAAAAAAAATATTAGAGCAAGACACCAAAAACTTCAGTCCAGGGCATATTTAAGGTCATCAAACTGAAAGAGTTCAGGACTCAGACACCACATGTTCATGTCCAAGTGGGTTTTTAACAGGCTACATGTTTTTCTAACAAGCAGGTCATTAACAGATCTCAGAACATACAAGGGCTATAAAAACCTGGGTGCTACCAGAAGCGTCTGTCCTTTAGAAAGAAGGGAACATAATTTTCTCTTGGATGAAAAAAACAGTGCAAGCGTAACCGTTGATAAAAAAATGTGCAGCCTAAAGCATACACATATGAGTGGGGATTCAATAGTTCAATTTGAAAATTCCCTGCACCACTTGCAACAAGACTCACTAAAATGTCACATTTAATAAAACAAATTCAATGTGTCACCATATCTGCACTCAAGCAAAAGGCTGATTTTGAAAATAAACAAGGCGTACTCCACCAGTTTGTATAATTCTATCTGCAAATATTTGCATGATTCTATCTGAAAATACAGGAGGAAAACCTGAAGTTGGTGAAATACTCGTAAATGCTGCAGGTAGCAGACAGCCTCTAGCCAATCAAGACTAAGACATGACATTGTTTTATAGCTGTCAGTGGAAAGACAATTCCATGAGTTTATGGAATTTTAGGCTTGATTCACTAAGATAAGCAAAGAAGTAATTTTAGAAGAACCGTACAAGTGACATGACCGCAAAAAGCCCCAAATATTGCAGAACACATGAAGTGGAGTTAAATGAAGTGGAGACTAGGGAGTATGTATCAAAGTAGGCAGTACATGAAGCAGTATGAATAAAGTGGTAAAAACATCAGAAAAATCCAAGCAACTCCCACCCTGCTTCCTCCCACCCCTGACCATAATTTAGCTAAATTACCAGGATACAAAGTAGAGCAGTATACATATGCTGTCCTTTGGTCTTGTACAGTGTAACAACTGGAACTCAGCCACAGAACATTTATGATTGAACAAAAATAGGTTTCACTAGATTACAACGTTGCAACATTGCAAGGCATTAGTAATGAAATATGTTATTGAGAGCTTATGAATACACTTGTTTAGAAGTAAAAACTTAGAGCCACTCAATTATGCGATTTTCAAAAGCATTTTAAGTATGTCAAGTTCTATGAAAGTCAGCGAGAATGTGTCTGAGTTTTGAGTAAAAAGCCTGATCCTTACTGCACTAAATTTAAATACACATTAGATACACAACACCAACTCATTGAGCCTTCACTTCACTAATCTTGTCAACACACCACCAACTTTAAGTACAACCAAGATTTAACAGGTTTCTCACACTGTCAACAGATAACTAAGAATCTATCATGCTTCCCAGAAGCATAGTGGATAACCACAAAAACACAATCAGGATGGCTTTCCAAACTAAGTCTGCTGCTTTCCTTTTGTTCTAGGAAAAGATCAGAAGAAAATGTACACATTTTTGCCTGTAATCTAGTATGCTTTCAAGGATGTTTGTAGGACTGACATTACAAGGTATCACTAGTTACTACTAACATGAGTCCAAAATCAAAGAAAACAGAAATAGGTGAGTATGTAACTTTCACCACAGCTTGTCTGACAACTTAGCATCCTAAAAATAATAGTTTCTAAATGTTTCCTGAAATTGCAAAAGGAAAAATTAAATTTGGATTGAGATGTAGACATTATGTAACACATCCCCCCCCCCGCCCAGAAAGTGCAACATATTAAATAAGTTTCAAAATTATGTAAGTACCTAAGTAGAGAAAAACTACTCTAATTGCAAGTTCCTGTTGAAAGAGAAGTCAGGGCTGACTGCTAAGTGTGAACAAAGAACAGGTTCTAACAGAGTGTTGAAAAAAATGTTAAAATTCTCTCTGCCTCACTCTTGTCCAGAAAAACAGCAGAGTTAAATTTGCTCTGTTAGCACCTGCATGGACTACTTATCCAGAAATACCTAAACATTAATTGTGTATTTTCAGAGGTCACACATGCTCGTGAGTCTACTGTGCTGGTTAACCTCAGGGTCAATGGTCTACCAAAGCCAAATTACTGAAACACTTCATGTATGCTGCTGAATTTATTTTATTGAAACATCAGTAAGTCACAGAACCACAGAAGCATTTTATTTAATAACTGCTTCACTTATAACCAAAACTTTTAAATAAAAAGAACTTACTGTGGAAACTCTTCTATAACTATGCACCACCTGTTCCACAACTGCTTCATCATCCTTTTGCTCTCCAGCTGCACTCACACAAAAGTTCTAAATAGCTTGCTCCATTATGCACGGTGTGTGTAATCTGTTGCTAAAGTAACTGCTCCAGATACCCACTGTCATCAGTTGCAGACTCCCATGATGGATGAAACAAGTGCCAGACAAGGAGTCTGCAAGTCTGCACGACACGTTTATCCTCAGTGTAGTGCAAATTGTAATACACCAAACTCAGTGTAGTGCAAATTTTAGTTTCAATATATTTTTATCTAACAGGTTTTACCAGTATTTACCATTCGGCTTGTAGTCCCCTTAACTTCCCCCAGAAAGAAGGAAATAAAAAAAACTTAAAAGTAAAACCAGCAACTTTTCCTTGGAAACAGGACATACACACACACACGCACACACGTTTTGGGATATGACAGCCACCATTTGAGAAATTTTATGCTGCAGATTTTACCTGCAGAAGTCTAAAACACCCTCTTAAAAACAATCGGACACTATCCCCTTTGAAATCCCTGTTCATTGAAAAATATAACTTCATTCCCTCTAAGTACTGCAGATGTTACCAAAATATTAAAAGTTACTTACGGTTTTCCCCCAGGAATCCCTGCTAGATTTGGAGGGATTCCAGGTACTCTCATGTGAGGAGGAGGATCAAACCCAACCTGACAACGAAAAGGAAATTAATCTCACACTTGGAATTTGTCATCCATTTCTCAGCAACTCTTTTTTCTCCACTCCCAAGGTATTACGCATTTAACCAAAAAAGTGGCTTTTACCCACAGTATCAGATAACTGCATGACCCTCCCCTGGGGGGCAAAACCCAGACCTTTTTCCCTAAGCATACTTCTGATAGAAGCACTCATATGAAAGCAGAAAACAATTTATCATGCATTCACACCATTGAACATAACCCAGCAGTCCTGGTTAGCAGGGAGAGTCCTGTGTTAGCCCTGGAATTAAGAGTCCATGTCAGCGCTCTTTACTCCTGAGAGAGCTAGCACATACTCAGGCTGGCACAGTGTGGTGCTGGAAATTAGCCCTGGGTGCCAGCTAGGATTTCACTGCCTCCACAGCATTCTGTGTGGGCACAGCAGCTGAGAGATCTCTCACAGAGACACACTGTGGGGTGCAAACAAGCTTGTCCACAGCTTAAAAAAAACTATATTCTCTTTACATACTGCAGTTCCACTGAATTTTTATATCGAGTAAGCATATTTATCATAGTCCAAGCAGAAATTCCAAACCAAAAAGACTTTTTTTTCCTCTGAACGTTATACTAGAATAAACATTGTTATTGCTTTAAAAGGAGTGTGTAGGCTATTTAAAATTCACACATTTTCACATAAAAGTCCCTTTTACCAGTTCAAAAACAGTGGTCATGCAAACGAGTTGACAAGCCTAAATCCAATTTTGCAAATTTACAAGTAGGTAAGTTTGTCTATGCAGAAAGCTGCCATCAAGCTCATGTTTGCAGAATCAGGCCCCTAAGTTATTTTCTATTGTGACAGCCACTAGAACTGGCAGGTTCCATTCACTTACTACACCCTCAACAGCAACTATTCTTAACATACCTGATCTTAGAGCTCCAAAATAGGTACTGACCAATTTCTCAGGTTGATTTCCACAAAAAAAACCAACAAAATACAGGGACAGAGACCCAGATAAAAAGACTTTTACATGCTTCAAGATTAATTTGTTAAGTCTACATGGAACACAAATGTGGTTCAGCAGCAAAAAAGCTACAGTGACATACTTTGTATCTACCAAAACTATTTTATTTACAGCAGCACAAAATATTTTTTTTGCATTTATTCATCAGTTAAAGCCCTGATGAAGGTGAAAGACAAAAAGAAAACATACATTAATACACTGATTTTCTTTGTTTTCAAGGTGCAAATTTGTTTCTTCAGCCACGCAACGAAGTGAAGCATGCAGCGAAGCACGCAGTGAAGCTGTCAAGCCTCTGGCACTGCTATGAGTTGGGAATTCTGCAGTGCTAAATGAAGCATGTAGCTTTTCTCAGTGAACCACAACTCACAGGGCTGAGATTGCATGCAACGTATGGCCTACCATAGGAGATCTTCCATAGGCAACCACGGCAGCTGCAGCAGCAGCAGCACTCATCTGGGGTGACATATTGTGCAGGCTGGCATAGGCTGCCCCTGGACTGGTTAACTCTCCGTTCATGCCAGCATGAGGTACCATTCCAAATGGAGCTGGGTATGGTCCTGGTACTGCCAACGGTGTCCGCAAACCTGCAGCTACAGAACAACAAAATCAGGTGGGTTTATATATGTATTTCTGCATCCAGGAAAGAAGCCCTTTTTTTCTCCCCTAGAACACCTCACCTTTCCCTCTCACCCACCGCCAAGAAACACTGCCATAATCTGTCAGTACCACCAGCTCTTTTCAGTGTAAGTAAGAACTACTGAAGTCTGAACTTGATGATTACTTCTAGCAATCTCTTCTGGCATTACCTATTTCCATTTCTGTAATATTCCCCTGTTTACATTAATCTCTTCTTTGCCAAATTAAGCAGTAAAGCTGACAGACATGGTTTACACAGCTCATGTCTGAAGCAACTGTGTGTACCAGCCTGAATAGCAAAAGTAAACTTCCCTCGGCATTTGTCAAGCTGTGCACTGCAGCAAATATTAGTAGACTCAGACAAAGACTGTAGAAGAGATTGCATGCAGAATAAGTACCAGAAACTTCTGAGAAGTCTTTTTATATTGCATTCAGTCCCTGGACTATTTGCAAAAAAAAGATAAAGACAAAAGTAAACAAGACTAAGAGACAGAAAGATATTCAAACTCCTGATAATCCAAACATCTGCTTCTCATCAAGCCCTCTCTTGATATCAAGAACAAAGCAATATATTTAGTTAACAACCACATGTGTAAAAAAAAGATTAATTTTGGAACCATAAAAACACATGAGGTAATGCATTTACCAGCTTGGTTAACCAGAGGGTCCATTGTTGGAGGTTTGCCAAGGCCTGGACGGAGTCCTGGAGTTGCACTAGTGCCTGGGGTTGGCACATCACCTCGAGGAGTCGGTGTGCTGGATTTCAGAACAGGCGTGCTGGCTTTTTCATGCTGGTATCATTAAACAAATTAAATGAGTATTATTTTTAATCCAGGCCATATTATACAATTTATCACAACAGCAGCTGGGATGCTGGGCACCTACTAGCTAGTCCCTCAGCCAATTTTCATAAATCCACACAATGCTGACAACATTAACTCGTGAGAGAGAAATGTTGACCTTTTTGATTGCTGCCAAAATTAAAATAAGAAACGCAGAAAGTTATTTTTCCTCTTCTACTGACATAAAAAAAGGAATGCCCGAGCTAATTTTTTTCTTCAGGAAAATACAGTATGCATTACCGAACTATTTTAGCTTGAAGTCATTAATATCTCAATTATTACTGGACACAGAAAAAAATCTAAATACAAAAACAAAATACCACCATAGTTGATAGTATCCAAAAAGAAAAAAAAAAAAAAAAAAGGCACAAAAGTTACAGAGAATCAGATGAAATTATTAGTGATACTATAAGAAAAAGTCTCCAGTGAATAACAGCTTATTTAGAAGAGTAACAAAAGCCTGAAGCACTTCTTAGAGACTACACACAGGCCATGTTAAACCATAAGTTATTGCTCCCAAAAAGAACCAAAGCAGTGCTTAAGAAACTCTTGCTCCTTGCAATAAATTTGCAACTAGTTTGACAGAAATGTAGGAAATACAAGAAATCAAAACAAGGCAGAAAATACTGCTCAATAATACTTTAAAGATCTGGAAAAACAGTGGTCAATTTCAGCTTCAAATGTTTAATACCAGGTAATTTGTTCCACAAGTACAAGAACGAAGATGATCTAGACCACAGACTGCTACCTACCAGGCCCATTTCTTTGGATTTGAGGGAAGTGGAACTTCCTGAAGAGGCTGTAGATGCTGGGCTGCTGGAAGCATCCTTCTTCAGTAGGCGGGTTTTATCTATACCGTTTTCACGTGGTGAATGAGTGGGACTTGCCCTTGGGGAAGAAGGATCCTAAAACAATGGGAAGGGAAGAACAGCGTAGAACTGTGTCATAAATTGGTACACAAACACCACTAAGGAGTCTAAGGGAAAAAGAAAAAAAACTAGAAGAATTTAAGCAGTAAGTGCAAATGACAAGATATTTTGTTATCTCCATAGAAATAAAAGCTGAAATCCCTTCATCAGCCTAGGGAAGTAAATAAAGTCATATAGTAAGCAATCTGGTATTATTTTACACTACATGTAATCATAAATTGTTTTCAAGTACAAAGCTTGCAAAGCATACCTAAGCACAAACTAAAGCAAGTGCGGAAAATGTGGTAAGAGCAAGGAAGACCAACAGAAACTTCAGTAACTTGACACTGTTTTTATCATGTACATTCCCCATGCTCTGCTAGTCTTAATAAACATTTCAATAACCTCTTTGAGGTGATAAAGTTCTTGCTCATCTCTGCCTTCAGAAGAAGAGATAGATGCATGCCTTCACAGATTTCACAGAATATTTTGAGTTGGAAGAGACCCACAAGGATTATCGAGTCCAACTCTTAAGTGGAATGGCCCATACAGGGATCTTTATATGCCATAATAGCTGTCACATTTTTGCTAAACACCAGCTTTAATTGCCTTGCCACTTACATCTATAGGAAAACCAAAATCACCTCTCAGGTGATTATTTTTCTCTGTTCCAGAGGCACTCTCTGCACTTACTTTAACTTGAAATAGCCAGTCCCATGAGTTACAATGCTATCAGAGCTCTGCAGGTTCTCCACGCTCCTTTGGCTCATAAGAATAGCACCAGGGAGAAATCATACCTCACAAAAGGGCAATAAGTCTACTGACTGATTATTAAGCAGTTTCATTGTAAGCCAACCTTCTGAAAGGATTACTAAAATCACTAGTTGGATACCCATTTTTCTACTTGGCTGACATCATTTGGGCACCTGGAGCTACTGAGGACACTTCTCTACCAGCTTCTCTCCCTGTGCTTTTCACAGACCTGAAGAACATCACTGCCATGTTCAGGCTTCCTAAATCTGTGTATTATATAAAATAAATGATGAAGAAAAGGGAGCACTCATCCCTTTACCTTGATGCCATTACCAAATATCTGCCCTGGAGGAAAAAAATTGCCTACAATCTCTGGAAAATCTTGTAAACTAACTTCATGCTATAAAATCAGTATTTCTGGGAAAGGTCTTTAACGCAGGAGATTAAAGTACCAAGAATTTTTAAGGTAATTTTTTAAATAACAATTCTGTTATGAAATACAACGTTAGATAATGTCTCCCTTTTTCATTCAAAGGCTGTAGTCTGAAAACCTCAGCCTTCCACCTGCACTTCACCACAACTCTCTAACACTACAGAGCAGCTGTGAAGTGTCATAATATTAACTATGGAGAGAACAGACCTGGACAAAGCAGAAGGAAAGACGGAGAAGGCAACCAGATAAAGTTCAGAGGAAGACACAGTACTAATAAAAAGGAGAAGTTGTGAATATTTTAACATATCCACACAGCGCAATAATTTTCTTCTAACAACTGAATGTACTTTTCCTTTCACCTTTGGGCAAATGTCAAGACTACAAAAATGAAAAAAGTTACCTCATTGGATACATCTACAACCAAGTTATCGTCACTCTTGTCCCCATCACTGTCCTATTAAAAATAAATAAATATAGTGTTCATTTCAATTAGTACAATAAGAGCCCAGACAGAAAGACTACGCATCTACTCAGACATTTTTTGTTTTTTCTAAACAAAAAACAAACAGCCTTTCATTAAGTTATAAGTAATAGGGAGAACAATTTAAACAGAAACACAACACCTTATTTATGCTACATTCGTGAAACCTAAGTAAGGTAGAACTAGTTGAAAGATGGGGACCATCAGCGCAAGATGGTCCAAAACCCCTCTTTATTCCCATCATAAACAGTGTTATCACTACTCCTAAAAGAGAAAGGTACTCTGTTCATACACTAATCTTGCATTAATTTAGACAAAGTACTGCTTGTGCATACCTGGAAAAACACCAAAAAACAGATTGCAGGAAAATGGAACTTTCTGGCACACTTGATGAATCATCTTCCTTAAAGTAATAGTACCATTTTTCCCCTTTTTTCAGAAAGGCAAGTTTTGAAATCAAAAGTTCTGGGAAGAAAAAACTTCAGAAATGCCAAAGCATTTCAACATTTCTGCCCAAGAAAAGCAAAATACTCAGATGTCCCCGAACAGAAATGTTCTACTGAAGCTTGTCAAGCTGCATTTTGACTGCTTCACCTAGATTGATGTTCACCTGAGCTGGTCCACTAAAGATTGCTGTTACTGTAGTGCCTCCTGGTCCCTCTCCCCAACAGAGGCCAAGATGTCCCAGTAGACCCTTTCTGACACACAGAGGTCTAGTGATTTCCACAGTACCACAGACTGTTTCAATCAGAAGGCAAGTCTTTACTCAAAATCAAACAAAGAAATGAAGTGAATGTCAAAACTAAATTTTTGTGGGAACAAGTTTGACATTCCCTATGAAAGTACTTTTTGTTAAAAAGCTTCTGCGCAAACAAACCAGACATACAAGATTGCTCAAGTGTTCTCCATCTCTTGCTTTAAAAGTGTCTGAGCTTTCCCATGTAACACTAGATCCTTCCTCTCTCTTCAGGCCACAGTGCTTTAAAAAAACAAAACAAAACTGAGCCACACAGAACTAACCAAACAAGAAACCCCAAATCAACCCAACAACCAACAAAAAAAACCCCAAAAATCCATCTGAAAAAAAACAACCCCTAACCTACAGGTAGTTTCAACTCTTCCCTTCTGTTACTAGGTGAATCTTGCTCCAAAAAATACCACAAACATATTAGGGATCCACTGGATACGGCAAGATCACTCTATTTGCTACGCAGGTAGCAAATCCAATATCCAATCAACAGGTGCAAACAAAGGACATGAAAGCTTTAGCTCCAGTTATCTGCCACCTCTTGAGAAGTACGAAGCACCTAGAGTGCTAGAACAGGAACGTGGGAGAACATGGGAGAACGTGGGAGAAGGGACACTTGTTTGCCAGAAACACTCCTCTAGAGTTGGACAATGTTTAAGTGAACACCATGGACTTTGTGCTCTTAATAGATAGAAATTTCCTGGGATTATCAAAGGCATCTCCTGTAACTTCTACTAATATCAGATGATTCTCCTCACTAATAAAGTCACACACTGAAACTACATAAGTAGTAATATGAAAATTAGTCAAAAGTTAAAAAGGGGAAAAAAAATTTCACTTTTCATTCTTATTCCAAAAGCTACAGGTCCCACAACTCATTTATGCCCCTTCTCACAAAAGCAGTATTTCCTTGTCCCTAAAAGGGATTCATCTAAAATGAGCTCTTAATCAGCAGCTCTGTATTTGCTTAATTGGTGGACCTTCAAAAAAAAAAACAAAACCAAGAACCCAAAAAAAAACCCCAAAAAAGCAAATCAATCATCTTCAAAATTGGAATAAATCTGGAACTTTCAAATATCCTTGCTTTACTCCATTTTTTAATTTGATGCTGCTTTTATCTGTAAAATCCATTTAAAACAAACAGCAAATAGAAGCATATTTAAAATGTGGATTAAAAACTGATTCTACAGTGCAATAGCATCCTTTACATTTCTTTATGGTAGAAACACAAGAAAAACAACTAAATTAAGCTTTTTCTTCTTTTTTATACCAAGTGTAGCTTAAGAATGCTTAATCTCCAAATATTTAAAATGAAAAATGTCAGCAGAGTATCAAACCCTTAAAGCTGAGGGAGTAACATGGGGAAGTTTGCCAAACCTTTCTGTAACCATAACATTATTATTATTAGAAAGTGGTGGAAATACAACTTGTAAAACCTTTAACAGAACTAAAATATCTAAAAGCTGCTCAAAGATATTATCCAAGTGGAGAAAAATTACAATTACCCTACCAAATACTGAGAAAATAAAATGGCACCTAACTCTTGGGTTTCTGTAACTAAGAACTAATTAGTGATCTGAAATCACATAAACCAGATAATTTGCCACATTATTGCTATGTCAAAGTACACTATGTTCTATTAGATTTAAATTTTGCTTTTCAGTACTCTCTCACACCAGTCCTAGTCTCTTCGGCCTGTTCAAGTACCATCCTGTATTTTGGCTGAGCATTTAGATTTGAAGTCAAAAGCCTATGTGAACTTTCTGGTGTTCACACACATTGTTGTACTGAACCGTCTCTTTGAAACCAGGCAACAAGCAAGCTAGTCAAAAATGCAGAACACAAATCTCCAAACTTTCAATATTTCAATTTGCTTTTTGCCGAAATCGGTGTATCAGCCAAAAGTAAACTTCAATAAGTTGGCATATGCCTGACAGTATATGCAATTTTGAATGATAATTATAACTCAGCATGATAATAGCTACTTATCATTAAAATTTACCAAACCCCTCTCAATCACAAAATCCTCCATTTCAAACAAACCTGCAGTTTCTAGTGCATTCCAGAAAGAACACATCACTTAAACTCTAAAAAATGCCCCAGAGCACGGGTGAATCCCAAACAGCTACTCCTACTGAGGACTATTACTTCACAATATCCCAAACTACTGAGCCCACAGTTTGAATCCTGTGCCCCTCTGGCATGAACTGCTTCAGCCACAGGAAAGTTGCCTTGCTCTTCACAGCTCTTTTACTCCTCGTACAAGCACAGTTTGTGCAAATAAATTAATCATTTCCTTGACACAGATTTGCTTACATAGTGGCTGGAATCCTTATCATCCACCTTTCTCTTTTTGATGTCATTGGCATATTCAGGGCCATTCCTGCGTTTATCTGTGCTTCGTAGACTGTCGGGGACCAACAGAGAATTACTCTGTAAAGACAAAAAACAAGGTCAATCAAAAATGCCTTTTAGAATTCCTTCATATATTCTTAAAAACTCAAACTGATGTGATAGATGCTTTAGAAATGTGATACCTACTTAGACTTTAATTCAATTTAATTCAAAACAAAGTCCTCCAGGCAAACATGTACAGATTCATGCATTCTAAGAAGCTTGGCTTTTCATTGTTCAACTTATCAAAAGTTCAGTTCACTTGTCAGTCACCATCTATTTAACTAATTAATTCAACTGAATTTATTGTTTGGGAGAAGAAGCAGGCTTGTGGTTTATTCATGAGCAACGATTTTATTATTTTTTTTAATATTCAGATGCCATATAATAAAAGAGATTTACTACACAATCTGATTGATCAGTCACTTTTAGAACATCATAAACAGATGAGGCTTTGGTGTGTACACCTACAGGTGTGGACAGATAAATACCAGCTTGCCTTTATGCCTAAAATAACAAGCATTTGCTGAATACGGTTAGGCAGTAATCAATTGTTAGCTGGAGTGAACTCCAATTGGATTCCTTGAACAAATGTATTGCAAACAACGATCAAATATTTTTACTTCCAGCATAACATTCACTACTAGTGTGAAATTAAGGCTAAAGTGTTGCTTAATCAGACTTGATCTGAAAAACTGAGGCCAACACAGGCACACAAAAGACAAAAGCAAAGACTAATCTTTTCCTCAAACTACATGGACTGCTTTCATTCATGCTAAGTTATGCTAAGTACAAACTGTTGACCCAAAGAGCATTTTAGACATTTTTCAGTCACATGACAATTTGATATGCCTGTGATTCCCGATTCCCATCTCCATCTCAGTTCCAGCTAAAGCATTAAAATGTGTTACAATGAGTTCTTTTAAGTGCAGGATTAGCATATGCAAGAGGGCAATTTGTTCACTGATGTGTTAATGCTGTGAACAATACTGAATGGGTTGAGAAAAAAATCTCCTTTCACAAAGACCTGGTAAGCCTAGATCCTAAAAGCCAAGTACATGCTTAGATAAATAAATATAGGCTCACATAAATATATAAGTAAACACACATTTACATCCATACACGTATCTCTCTCAAGAGAGAAGTCTAATACCAACATGTACTTCAGTGTAAGCCCTCAAAGGACATATTTAGATCTACCCAAGAGACAGAGGTATTTACTTGTAATATATCATAAACATATACAAATAGCCAGCGAACTGTGCATTGAATAGCTTCCTCTTTAAAACCTGAAGACATCAAGGTAGTTTTGCTCAGAGAGAAATGTTTAGCCCCAAGGAGAAGGACAAGGAAACGGGGTACATAAGGCAATCTGAATCCTCTTTTTCCTAATTCAGAAGCTGCACTTTAAAGCCAACTCTAAGCTCTTTTATTCATGACTATTCAAGCTAAACAAATGCCAAAGGGCTTACATAAAGCATATAGGAGGGCCTATTGAAATTCAGTATAAAGAAGCTCAAAATAATGTCTTTACCGAAATGTTTTGTAGCTAAAAGGTGGGCTTGTTGGATCATTGAACTAATTGCCTTGACAAATACTTGGGAATTTAACCCCTTATCTCCTCCCAGATGGACACAAATTTAGGTATTTAGTGGCCTGAAAACCATTAAAACTAATTTTCAACATTTTAATGTTGAATCCATGATGTTATAAGCAGTAGAAACACCTTAAGAAGCAAAGTGTCAATTCAAACTTGACCGGAGATTCTTTTCCCTTAAGGAAGAAAGTCTTTTAGTTAAAAGATGCTTTCCTTAATAAAAATAATTAAAAATACCTATTTTACTACTGAAGAGTTTAGATTAAAACAATTCAAGAAAATGCAGTAAAGAGAATAAAGTCAGCCTCTCACTTTCATTTTCTAAAATAAAAGTGTGAATAGCAGAAAGGTGACAAAGAGGAAACATCTGGAAAAAAATTAACAAACCCACTATTTGGAGTTACAGCTAGCAAAATTTGACAAACTATAGGCATAACTGCAATAGTTGATTTTTTTTCCTTTTAAAATTTAGTCTATCTAGACAATGCTGACAATATTTTATACGGTTTGTCTTGTAGAATTTCAAAACTGTGAAACATAACATAGGAAATTCCAGCTCTCACTGTGTCCTAAATGCCAAACAAAGATTATTAGATTTGTTTTTTGTCCAGAAGACTGATGCTTTCTCTTATGAACATGTAATTATATCACAAGCCTATTCTGCAAAACATATCCCCTATGGTGTAATATTTACACCCCTTTTCTATAACTTACCACATTGATTTAAACCACTGTTTTCTGTGATCAGAGCATCCATGATAGAAGCTGGTGTAGAGCAGCTCATTTCCCAACAGCTGCATCAGAAATTGCAAATAAGACTGTACTCTTTTTATGGCAAAATCTATCAGTAAACTCAAAAAATAAAAAGTTCCTGTTTTGTTTCCCATAGAAGCTCAAGAAAGTTCTAACAACTGTGACTAAAATCAGGTAAAGAAAAAACAGCTTGCTACTGTAAGCTACTACCATAATTCAAACCACCAAATATGTAAGATTTCTGTCAACAGTGTGAAAATTTGAATCCTTTAAAGCAGTGCAAATGGTAAATCCAGGACTCTGAGGAAGAAATTAAATAAATGAAAATACAAACAAGAACTGGTAAAGAGATGATCATATAAGCCTTGGGCTACTGATATCTCTCACCTTTGTAATGTTAAGGTTCAGGGAACAGTGAGGACAGCATACTAAAAGCCACCTTTCCTCATTTCCTCAGCTCTGGCAGAGTTGCTACACATCCACTATCAAACAGGGCCAGCCAGATGACACCAGAAAAAGCTTCACAATATTACTCTCCTTCTCTTCAGAAAAGTAACCTGTTTAGTTCTTCTACCTAGGTCTACTAATAACTTATTTTCAAAATAATACTTATTTTCACAAGTAGGACAAGAATTTTTATTTTGGCTGTAATTTTTTTAAGTAACTCTACAGAAATTTTCAGGTGGTATAGATCTTCAATAATCAGCTTACACAAAAAGGGAAAAAATATATATACATGCATAGTTTATTTCCTAAAGAGAAACTGCATGGCACCAATTTTTATTTTGTCTTAATTTCAATAGATTAGATACATGACTGAGGATATTTCTTTCATACTTACAAGTTCAGTTTATTAAGGATTACCAATGCAACATTTGCAAATCATGAAGCTCAGATCAGAGCAAGTGGTCAAAATCAGTTTTATGTGTTTTCCTTTTCTTCCCATCATTTGTCTTATACACATGAAGCCCTTTTCTTCAAATAAGTCCCAAAAGAAAATAAAAAGGTTAATGTAAAAGTAATTCTTCCTGTCAGAATTACCAGACCGCATAAATGCTGTACAACGGGCAACTTGTGATCCTAAAGCAACTCTACTGCCAGCAAAAGTCAAATACTGAAAACAATCAGAAGGCAAATGTGAAAGAAAAACCTAGTCTTGATGCACAGAAAGAAGGCAGGTCCCCTCTTAGGAATATAACGCACATTATTCAGATGCACCTCTTTGACTGCCATACTCTTCCCCACAGGAACCACTTCCAAACCTCAACTATGTGTGCCAGATGTACAGGCTGAGACCACACAGTATCTCCTTTATTCCATTATCCCATTTATAAAACAGCACAGACAATTCATACAGAACAGTGCACACAGAACTAACAACTGACTTTATGCTGATCATTACAGCAATTAAATAACCGTATTTACATTACAACTGTGCACATGGCTCAACTACACCTGGTCCCAATTAAGATCTTCTCTAGTGCTGGGCTCCCTGGTCCTCTCGCTCCCCTTTCCCCCAAAGATGTGTGCACACACATCCTTGCTCTGTGCTTGGTCATCCCCTGACTCACTGTACATCCATGCCAAAGAGAGCCACCAGCCATCACAGCCAGCTACCACAGCTAACAGCTTGGGCTTGCCTGCTTTGCTCAGAAGAGCCTCTGTGTTTATTTTCCTTAACCATGCACTGAACCTCTGCCCTGCTGCTGCACCACACACATCTGCTGTCTAGAGATGTGCTCATATAGACAGGAGCAGGTGCAATTCCTTGCTGAGTAGGCAAAACAGGATCAACCCTAACAACTACACCCAAAACATCAGTTGTTTTTTTGTTAGGATTCACTGAATCCTAACAAAATACAGTAAATGCTGGAATATGGACTTTAATATCCCCCAGACAGGCAAAAGAAGATTGCACTCAAAGCTATTCTACTCCAGAACCATTAACTTAAATTGGTTCAATATGCTTACTGCAAACACGCATGTCAAGAACCCAAAAGCTGACTTATGAAGTCTGTAGGTTTTGTGTCAAATTACTCCTGATGGAAAGCTACTTGACTTCACCTTCTTTTCAAGCATCATTTGAAGTTATACTGATTTTACAGTCAGAAGATATTAACAAAGAATAAGTTCATTTCAGTATTTTTGAGCTACTGTTTCTCAAAATCAAGGTATCCATAAAACCTTTTACCAGACCACCTCATTATCCTTTGTTATCAACCTTATGCCGCCTTCTATCAGATACAAACTAAATTGCAACATAACAACCCACAGCTATTACATATGAGCAATCTCTGCAGTAATCTGGAGCCATTCTTCCTTCAAAAAGTCCAAGAAACATGCTTGTGCTATGCTGATCAGTACCCTAAACTTCCATATAACAGCTTTTATGAATTTCCTCCCCACCATTAAAAGAATTAAAACACAAAATGAAAACAGCTTGCACATAATATCTTCCAAAAAGTAGCACTCAGTTGTTCACGCTCCCCTTCTCCAAGACTGCAAGATAAAGAATAGGATAGAAAGTTCAGGGCACAGAATATTTTTCTACTGTAGGAAAAGAGTATTTGCTTTACAAAAAAATAGCAATATTTAGGCTTAACAAAGAAGGCAAAAAAATGTCTGCAAAAATTTATGAATACTTCCCAGGTCTCAGAAAATAAGTTCAGTATTTTTCATAAGGATGAAAGATAAACACCAACTAATGTAAATCCTAAGCACACAATGAAGTAAGAGTTCACCATCTGAAAATTACTACTGTTACAACAGAGTGCATCAAAACGTTTGCATTTCTGTGCTGTCCAAACAGGATACTAGAACAGTGGGAAGACAAGTTATAAATGAAAACCTACAATGAGTTTGAAAAGTGCTGCAAATATATTTCCTAAAGAAAAAAATGTGGACATCAAAGTTCTTTCATAATGACATCTCCAAAAGCTTTCAGTTTCAGTTGCAAAACTTGCTTCCCTTGCCAGGCTTCACGACTTGCAGCCACAATTTGCCGCACTAAAAGGGACGCCTATATTGGCACAATAACATGACACAGTTTGGGGCCGTCAGCGATCCATCAGCCAAAACCCACCAGCCATTACCCACACAGGCACACAATTTAAATCTGACAAAATAGTTTTAGCTTTCATATTGTTCATATTTATTAGCATATTATTTATACATATTCAGCATACTATTATTACTAACTTATACGTTACACATTACACAAATATGCATTTACCAAAAAAACTTTTTGTCATTTTACTTCCCAGAACTTTAATTAATATATGAAAGAAAAATTTAGCCCTTGCTATTTAGATATAACAAAAGTAGTTAAACCGGTCAAAATAAAAAATAATGAAACCATATCTTTATATTAATTTATAAATACTAGAATTTCACAAATGTTGGTGTATTTCTAGATATATAATAGCTTAAAAGCTTGTGCCTGCTTATTTATCTAAGGGTTTTTCTTAAAAAAATAAATCTAAATACAATTTAAAAATCAATATGCGTATGTCACAATATGCTTTACCTCAAAGTTTATGCTACAAAAAGTCAATTTAAAACCCCATAGACAAGCACTAAATTTTAACTTTTCGAACTTTGACATTTCAAGCTGTTAGCTTCTACTGGTAGTGCTTGAAGGTCATGCTAGACATATTTGATGGAAACCATACTGTAGAACTGCACAGTAATTCCAAACATCGTGGTGAATTTAGGTAACTTACAAACAGCATGGGGTTTGATGACTTGGATGATGAAAGCGTGCCTGTCAGGATTTTTAGCAGCACCATTGCTTTTAAAATGTCATTCTAAAAATCAAATTTATTTTATCATGGTGGCTCAAACGTTATAAAGTGATTTCAATCACACACAATAACCAAACAGACCTGCTGCTATCCCTTATGTATTTGAGACCCATTTCCTATTATCTTTAAAAATATATATTACATTTTAAAAAATCCCATTAAAAATACAGGAGAATTGAAGAAGTTTGAAGAGTCTGTAATTTCCAGCTGATCACTTTAACCACAGTTGAACCTAACTGTCTCTTGAATTATTCTTTCATTTAAGGTGCCCTGTGACTGTTAAGTCAGGATTTTGATATAACACTGTATTTAAACAATTTTAAGTTCAAGTTCACCTGTATTCAGCTTAAGTTAAACTTTAAGTTAGCTATGCAGTATTGTCCTACACTGAGACCAAAAAGAAACTAGAATGACCACAGTATAGCATTCAAAACTCAATACATCTACATGTCAAAATTCCTTTATGATATAAAGCCTCAGATTATTTAAAAGTTAATTACTGATAAACCCAGCATAAAATCAGTCTGCCTCAGGTAATAAGTAAGCAGTCATCAGTTAGACATATGGATACAGAAGCAATTGCAGCAACAATTTTACATAATTGAAGTAAAATTTTCATCTCTAGTAAACTAAGCAAGTGATACTGCAACTCTCCCACAACACAAATGCCAGGTTAATTTTTGATAGCTCTCCTTCCATAGGCAAGAGCTATTCTCAGCTACAAGATGAATTCAGAGTCCAAATTTCACAACGCTAAGCATTTGCTTTTAAATTCAAACCCTTGACTAAATTACATGATGGACAGGGCAGGGACCAGGGCAAGGACAGGAAACACAACAATCAAAGCAAAACACAGAGCCATCACTAGGTAGGGATTCCTGCAATCAACTAACAGCACTCAAAGAAGTATGCCCCACACAGAGCAAAAAGTACTTAATAAATCAGAGATGTCACAAACACCCAGCTTAAAATTATTTCTGCAGATACACTGTCATTAATAACATCAAGCAAGCTGAAATGAATGCTTCTTGCTTAGTAATCTAAAACTAACAGACTGCTGCAAAAGATATTTAGATAGTTTCCAGTAAATAAATGTTGTACTGTACAGCTGTCAAATAACTTCTCATAGTTCTTGTCTTTTTTAACTGAGAAATGGAACAAAATAGAGCCCAAGTTTACCTCTGACATAAACAAACAGAACGAGCTTTGTTACTTGAATTGACTTGCACATGACCATCTCTAATAGATTAGTATAGCAATATTAGTCAAAATGAAACAGCATGAAAAGCAGCAAGTAGCTCTTTAGAGGGCTTTTCAGATAAGGACAATTCTATTACAGCTCATGTCTACAGAGAAAAAAGTGTTGCTCTAGGAGTTATACCTGAAGCACAAATTAAGCAGTAATGACATTAGTACAGCTTAAACAGATACAGTTAAAAAAACCTCCCAGGGCCAAACACCATCTCTACACATTTAAAATTCTCACATTTAAATTTCTCACCTGCTCTCCAACTCTAATTCCTGAAAATCCTAGAAACTAAAAATCTTAACTCTTTGACTAAAAAAAATATACTGTATTTGCAATGTTCTCTTTGATTTGCAGTTTCATTCCCCCTTTATGCCTCCAATAAGCAAACTAACATTCAAGTTTATTTAATAGCATTCTGCTCGGAAACAAAACTCCTTCATACAGTTCATCAAACAAATTCTGCATAAACCAAGACATATCTTAACAGAAAACACATACACCTTGCATTGTGAAAATAACTAAAAGGAAGACAAAACAGACAAATAGCACAAGGTCTGATTATTGCATTATTGGAAATGGAAACACTAGCAGGAATGTTGGTACTTACTGTGCCTGGCTCTCTGTCTGCTCCCGCAGTAACCAAGAAATGGAAAGACATGCCCATTCAGACACAGAGGCAAGAACAGAAATAAAAAAAGGGGGGAAAAAATTAGAACACAAACCACAAACAGTTTTAAAATGGCTTTTATTTATATAAGTCATTGCACATTCCTAATACAGTGATTTCCTGAAAATTACAGTACTTTGTAAACATGATTTACAGTTTAACCGTACACAAAGCCTAGTTTTATTTCATGACAGAATAAATTATTTTCTTTTCAAAAATTAGTTAAGTGCAATTTTGCCCAATATCTGAGTACTAGAATTTAAGCTTACGAAACTAAAGTAACAGATGCAATTATCTAAATCTTTTGTTTGAACACATTCACTTCAAAATTTAACTTCTTGTTCCCCCTACCTTCCCACCCACCCATTTAACAACATTACTTTCTTTGAAAAAAATCACCATTATGCAGTTTAACAATTTTCCACAATATGGTGCAGGCCACTGCTATTACAACTAAGCATTTAACTAGGATGTCAAAAGGCCCTGCAAAGTATAGAGCAGGTGACACCTAGTGATCCCCTTTAAAATATTGAGAAATTCCAAGCTGAATTTTGCTTCAGTGGTTTATATGCAGACATTTTAAAGTTTGCCAACAGTTTTTTCTCATTCTATATAACTTGAATTCTTTAGAGATGCACATAATTTGCAGCAATGCGCAAATTTGGCAGTGTCCTAATCAGGCCTGCCATGCCTCTCACCTCTGTGGTGGTCTGCATCGTGATGCTTCTTGTCATCTTTTATTGCCAAGTGAGACTGCCCACCCAAAGCACTGGAGAGGGCAAGAAGGCCAGCACTGCTTCCAAGTGGAGGGATTCCTGGAGGCTGAAGTCCTGATGGGTGTGGCGTTAGAGGCACTGGAGGTCCGTGGCCATGGGAGAGATGCTGAGCCTGCAACTGCTGCTGCTGTTCCCAGCGGTATCATCATCCCCAGAAGAACAACGTATAGCACATAGTTTGGGAAGGATAAGGCAGAAGTTTGGTTAATTATTGAGAATCTAGAACGGATTTTGACATTTATTTGTTTCTTCTTAATCTAGCCCCTCCCTTTTAACCCACCACACTATATACACTGCATTATATCATGCTGAGGACAACTCTGGTCATGTCCCAGAAAAAGCTAGCTGGATACTCATTTTACAGCCTGATGACTAAGTTCAGCAGCTATAGGTTGTATTGGGCAGCTACTGCCTGACACAGCATCTCTGGCAACAAAGAATAGCAGCAGAATAATCAAACACCTTTCCTTTTCTAGAGAAAGCCTTATCAGTGCTCTGAAAATAAGAAGTTTCAGTGGCAAGACGGATTTAAACTCACATCCCTCTTCTTCCCCAGTTTGGAAGCAGCAAGTACACTTCTATCCTGAATATAAAAAAATGTAAAAGATATGCTGAACTTCATATTTAGTGAAGTTTAATTTGTATTCTAGTCTAGCCAAGGTTTTTAGGGGAAAGTTATTTTTCATGACTTAACACTGTGTTTAGGAGCCAGCTTTCAGCCGAAAATACATGTATTTTAGATAGCATGGAATTTTCAACAAGAAACATGATATTAATGAATACCTCCACCTGTTTTAGAAGGAGCTTTTAAGATCAAAATCATAATGAGTGGACATACAAGCCTGGAACCAATCTCCTAAAATAATCAGCAAGCAATTTTAGAAACAGAGTTTTTACATTAGAACGTCTTCCACATAGTTGAAATATTAAGATAGTTTCTAGTTAAAATTTCAAGTTTTATTAATGTTTACCAAGTTTAGCTACCCATTTAATTTGTCCAAAATGCCCAGCACAGTTTTTTTTTTAGAAATGGAGCTTCAAAAGCAGCTTTAGCTTAGTCATAGCTCCCATAATCTGTTCCAGGTTAACAGATATTCTGCCTCTCTCTCCTGCTTCCTTGAGTCTGGGCGTATAAATGGAAGACAGAACAATCCTCTTCATCTCGGCCACTCACCACTATCCCTCTGCTCACAGCAGACACCAGGAAAAAGCTAGAGTGCTGTCCAATTCATGGGATTGAAAAGGAGACAAATAAACGTATATCCGAACAGGATGAACTCAAGTTGGACCAGGTGAATGCTAGTGGCTCTGTAATAGCATGTAAAATTGTTACTGTGCTGCTGGCAGCTACTGCAATCATACCTGAACTGCAGCTTACAATATTTCACCCATCACTCCAAAAATAATGCAGAAATATTTTATCTGTTTCTTTAGGTGTAAAGACTTTTCAACTGTCAACAATATCTGTATAACATCTACTGGCACAAGAATGAATTTTTTCATTACTATTTATATCCATATAATTACTGAACTCCTACACTTTTACATCTCAGAACCCCATCCCGGGATATGCCTTGAGCCCTTGATAAAATTATGCAGACACAGGCTGACATTCAAGAACTGTGGACTGCACTTACCAATTTTGCACTTTTCTGCTGTCCCAACTGTCATGCAGCAATAATTTACTTATTTTGATATATAAGACAAACTTTAAATTTGCCACAATCCACTTAGTCAATTCTGTAAAGCCACACGTTTACCAAATCTTTCTCACACCATGTATTAGAAATTTATTTTTGAGTGCTGCATGAAAAGCCATGCTAGTCTACACTTCACAATGTACATCTGATCACCACCCTTTCTAGTATGTTTAGAAAACAAGGTAAAAGAGAAGTACTTCTTATTCTTCTAATTTAATGTGTTTACAACAACGCAAAGGGCAACATTTTGAAGGAATATTAGGAATCATTGATTTTAAATAGTTAACACAGTAGTCCACTTTCTACAATATCAGTCAGTTTTTGCTAGTGAAGCTTCACTTAACTGAAGAACTATCAGTAAGGAGCTCTAAGTTCTGACAGGTCTGCAGAGGTTTGGTTTTGGGCATTTTGTTCATTTTTTGGATCCAGTCTCTAAAGAACAATATGACACCCCTCTCCACACACACTTCAACAAGACTTTAGTAGTTTCCAGCACATTTCCTCAAAACAGGTGATAACCTGATATTTTGGCAGCCTCTCTGAGAGATGGTAATTTAGTCACCTCTTTCCTCATTGACCAGTTCAGCCAGGTCAGTCATCTGCACCCTAGCACTGAGGCAACATGAATTAGCCGTACTGTGCAGCATTGTTGGCTTTGGTCTTACTTGTCCCTAGCTGCACTGTAACCCCACATTAACTAGTTTTGGTGTGCAACTGCCTAAGAATAAAAAGCAATTTATTCCTTCCAAAGTGGTTTCATGGAGAAAAGCCTTCTCTCTTCTCCAGCAATAAGCTGAAACTAGCTTGTTTTATAGCGTGACTGTGGGAAAGTTGAAACAGGGAACAGGAGTCAAATTGTTTCCATTCTTGTCCCTAACATTTGGGAAGTGTAGGAAGATAACATTTATTCATCTCTCTCTCCGCTTGATTTAATTAGCAAACATGCTAACTCATTTGATTTTGGGAAGCATAGAGTAACATTTTAAGGAATATTAGCGACACATTACCTACCATTTCCCTGGCTCTGGTTTGTAGCCTACATACCGCATATTATGAAAGTCTGAGACACGAGGAACAGATTAATGCTCTATAAAAGGTTCTGAAACTGAGAGTGGGAGGGTTGTGCCCCGCGTTTGTTGGTGGTATTGCACACATATAGTGGGGAGCAATGGGAAAGGTGTGGTGTGAGAGCTGCAGGTGCATTGCAAAGCTGCTCTGCACGTTTTTGTAGCTTTGTAAGTGGTTTCTTACAGGCACGATTCTGTAAACATGAAACTGACTTAAGACAGAAATCCTGATCATGGTCTTTTAAGCTACCAAAGTTATGTCGTGATTTCATGTTTATTATCTGATGTTCATTGCTGTTTAGGACTTTAATATACTGATCTCTTGCTTATATGTTATTTATTCATAATAGGTTTGAAGCTCTCCCTAAGAGACGAGGGATCATCCATAAAGATGATCCTTTCCAGAAGTTCATAGTCTTTTCATTTAAAAACCTTGAATTTTCAGAACCATATTGTATTATCTTTGTAGAAGGGATAAAAGGAATATGTGCTGCACACAAAGGAAGAAAATAAAGACCAGGGAGAGGGATAACAACAACATTCACCAGATGCATTTAGTAACTAAACATTTGCCATAGTAGATCCTACAAACAATTATGTTATGCATATAATCACTTTCCCATCACTTCAAAGACACTAATGCCTGCTCTGCAACCTTTTAAGAGCTTAGCAGCAGTGAGATATAAAATGGAGTAGGTTGGCAGCAGTATCATGGTCTACTAGGCATGTTCATTAGCAGTTAATTAAAAACTAGACATCTGCCCTAAGAAATGTGTTCAAAAAAGGATGAGTAACAGGTCTGTCTTAGTACCAATTATTATCATTACTTGCAGAGCAAAGGCTGTGTCCACTTTCAGAGGAAAGTGGGAAGGTAGAGAAGAGTGCAGTGATGCATACTTAAGTGACTGCACTAAGATAATTAGCTACAGCAGTGATTTTAAAAATATTGGTAGTTCACCCACCATTTTGTTGCAAACCCAGAAGTTCATATTTGCAAAGGGAGAAAAGGAATTACGAACACATTACTGTACTGTTTCAATGTAGGTTTTATTGCCCCAGATTTTTATTTCCTAGTGTCTCCATAACCAAACCATAAAGACTCAAAACTCAGCATATAAAAAACAGCATTAGTGTCTCTGAGCAAGCACCTCCTAACGATTTTAAAGGCATTACAGCTTTTTATCTCCCACATTTTAGGGTAAGTCCAGCCATGAAGAGATCTTTCATCAGGACTTAAAGTGTGGAATTGCATTTTCAATCTCTGTCAAAGACTTCTAAAGACAGAGTTAGTATATGTCTGTGAAACAGAGTTCCTATAATTAAACAGCGACAGGTCTCCTTTGGGTTCCCTGCTCATAGAGAACAAGCTCCTACAACCCCACTCCTCACCTTAAAGCAGCTCTGTTGAGGTCTCAAACACCTGATTTTACTTTAACACCTTTTTCACTTAAATATATGGCTTTTTAATCCTTATCATTAAACATTTAGAGCATTCTTCCATTCTTAAACAGATGTATGGTGTACTCTCCTGTATCTCCTGAAAAGCACTGAATTAAAAATTCAGATGTGATTGTAAATGAACAGTGGAAAAAAAGTTACGCTTTTTCCCAAACCACAGTAGCTGTCTTCTCTTGTGCTGTTCTAAATAAACACTTGAAAAGTAAACACAAAGAATTTTTTCCAAAATCTTATCAACACTAGCGTCAGTAATACTATCAACAGTTGCCTCCAAGCCCCATAGAGGTGTTCTGAAAAACTATCTGGAAAACACAAGTCATTTAGAGACCTAAAATGTAAAGGACACTATTTCATATCAACTTTTGTGTAACAGGGAGAAATGTGATTTTGTTCAATTCAAGGAGATGGAAAGACTTGAGAGAAAAACATGTATTACTGTGTTCAGTTTCATGATCATATTCACTCCCTTTCCAAAGGGCCATCTTCCAATTTTCCATTTACTTCCTTGAATTTCATAAGGAAGTGTGAGCCTGCATCAAATATCTGTGGCCCAACAACTACAACAGGGCCACTGTCTGAGCTTATACTAGTAGTTGACCAAGGAATAGCCTTTTCCCTCACTGTTTAAAAACTGTCTTAAAACCAGTATTATAAATATAACCTTCCAAAAAATGGAAGTAACTCAAGACTATGCTCCTGTCACATCCCATTTTTATCCTCATCCTGAAAAAAACCAAAAGCCCGGCATGCACAACCCACTACACCAGCAGTCAGATTTGGCAGGAGGAAACTCAATAGACACTCTAAGCTGTTAATTAATACTTACATTTAAATTTCTGGAAGTACTTTCCAAACAGTATTTCAGATATAGGGAAGAACATATTTCAGGACAACAAACAAAT